GTGAAAGTGTCTCTGTTTGCAGATGACATAATTGCATACATAGAAGACCCAAGTGTATCCATGAAGAAACTCCTGGAAGTAATAAATGAGTACAGTAAAGTAGCAGAACACAAAATCAATACACAAAAATCTGTAGCACTTCTATATATAAATAACAAGCAGACTAAGGTAGAACTGAAGAATGTAATCCCATTTACAACAGCTACAAAAAGTATAAGATACCTAGGAATAAATCTAACCCACGAAGTCAAAGACCTCTTCAAGGAAAACTATGAAAAAAATTGAAAATGATACAAAAGTGGAAGGACATCCTATGTTCCTGGATTAGAAGGATGAACACAATCAAAATGGCAATTATACCCAAATTAATCTACACACTTAATATGATCCCAATCAAATTATCAGAGACATTTTCCATAGATTTAAAAAAGACAATCATAGAATTTATCTGGAATCATAAAAGACTCTATTGTCAAAGCAATCCTGTGAAAGAGTGGAGTACAAATATCTCACTCTCTGATCACAAAATATATTACAAAGCTGTGATAATGAAAACAGCATAATATTGACATAAAAAACAGACATGTGGATCAATGGAACAGAATAGAGACCCAAGAAATAAATCCCAAAACATACAGCCAACTGATTTTTAACAAAGGTTACCAGTCAATCCAGCTGGAAAAGGAAAACCTCTTTAGCAAATGGTACTGGTAAAACTGGCTATCCACCTGCAGGAAGATGAAACTGGACCCCTATCTCTCACCACTAACAAAAATCAACTCAAAGTGGATCAAAGACCTAAACCTAAGACCTCAAACCGTAAAACTACTGGTGGAAAACACTGGGGGAACTCTGGGAGACAATAGGATAGGCAAAAACTTCTTAAATAAAGATAAAAATTTTAAAAAAAATAGGTTATCATACTAAAAACGTGTAACTTATTTTAAGTTCAGAAATTATTGGGGCCAGCAGGAGGTGTGGACTCCCACATGGCCAACTGTGGTTTGAATCCCAAACTTGGAGACTTGCTTTCTCATTTCTCTTTTTTTCTCTCTCTGTATTGCTTTGACAATACAGAGTCTTCTATGATTCCAGACAAATTCTGTGATTGTCTTTCCTAAATCTATGAAAAATGTCTCTGGTGATTTGATTGGGATCACATTAAGTGTGTAGATTAATTTGGGTATAATTGCCATTTTGATTGTGTTCATTCTTCTAGTCCAGGAACATAGGATGTCCTTCTACTTTTGTATCATTTTCACTTTTTTTCGTAGTTTTCCTTGTAGAGGTCTTTGACTTCTTGGGCTAGATTTATTCCTAGGTGTCTTATACTTTTTGTAGCTATGATAAATGGATTACTTTCTTCAGTAAGTAAACACAGGCAATAATTCCAAAAATAGACAAGTGTGATTATACCCGATTAAGACGTTTCTGCACAGTGAAAGATACAGTAATTAGTGTGAATCAAAAACCATTGGAATGGGAGAATATTTTTGTAAATTATGGCTCAGATATGGGACTGATAAACAGAAAACATATGGCACTTAAACGGCTTACCTGGAAAAAAATGATCAATCCAAATAAAAGATGGGAAAATGACCCAAATGAACAATTCTCTAAGACATATGAACAGCCAAAAGGCATAAATGCTAAATATCCCTCATTGTAAGGGAGATGCAGATCAAAACCATAATGAGATACCACCAAACCCCAGTCAGAATAACTAAGATTTTTTAAAAAATGATAAGTGCTGGCAGGGGTGTGGTGAAAGGGGATCTCTCCTACACTGCTGGTGGGAATGTAAATTGGTCCAGCCACTGTGGAGAACAATTTGGCGATTCCTCAGAGATCTACAAATAGAGCTACTATATTATCCAACAATTCTACTCTTGGTATCTACCCAAAGGATAGGAGAATGCTCAGTTGAAAAAGTGCTTTCACATCTATGTTTATTGTGGCACTATTCACAATTGCTAAGACATGGAACCAACCCAAATGTCCACGAACAGATGAATGGATTGGGAAAGTACAGCACATATATTCTATAGAATACTACTCAGCCATAAAAAAAAAAAAAGATACAAGATCCTGCAAGATCCTGGCATTTGATGGAAAGTGGACAAATATGGAAGATTTACTGCTGAGTGAAGCAAGCCAAGCTATGAGAGACATTGTTTGTCTCCACTTAACATATACTGACTGTCCACACTCTATGGTGGAAACTGAAAGACTAGAGAATACAGACATATGGAAAATGGTTAGGGATACTGAGGACAGTGTGGAGATAAGGGAGAGAGTATGAGGAAAGAAATTAAGGAGAAAAATAGAGAGGCAAGAAATTTATGAGACACTGAAGTGGATTACTATCTGTTGATGATAATGTGTATAGTAGCCTAGACTGGACTGGCATGAAGTGTATTCATGTTGGGTAAATTCACTTTACAATTTTAAGTCATGTATACTGATTGAAAGTATGAAATAAAGATAAAAATTAAAAATAGGTTATCATACTAAAAATGTGTAACTGATTTAAAGTTCAGAAATTATTGGGACCAGCAGGAGGTGTGGACTCCCACATGGCCAACTGTGGTTTGAATTTCAGACCTGGAGACTTGCTTTCTCATCTCTCTCATCTCTCTCTCTCTCTCTCTCTCTCTCTCTCTCTGTGGGTGTGTGTGTGTGTGTGAATGTGTCTGGTGATTGAGCATGGCCTATAGCAAATTAAAATGCAATAATAATAATAAATAAAATTAAGTACAATAATTCTTTTAAAGAATAAAGCTAAGAAATTATCAACTAACTCTAATTAATAAACTAAATTCATCCTCCAAGAAACTATTTCAGTGACTATCAAACAGCAAACCTGCTTGATAACATGCTTAACCTGCTGCACTTAACTTGAGGTTGCTGTGAATGTTTTTAACTACATTAGGCCTAAGTGAAAGCAATTCACTTCATTACCAGGACCCAGTAAATTTTCATCTGCAATATCACTTATTTCATACCTAATTCACAATCCTTTAATTTTAGGCAATGTCCAAAAAGTTCCTTCAAAATTCAACTAAAAAATATTTGTTCTTTGGCATTAATTGTACTAACATACCAGTAGAAAGGGAACAGAAGAGAAAGCAAGAATAAGACTAGAGAGAAGAGAAGATTGTTTTTCAGGGACCAAGTTCCATAAAGCAAAACAATATGATACTGGGTGGGGAGGAGATTATCAAAAACTTTTAAAGGAGAAAAAAAATCACTTTAATAAAGATCTAAATCTTTTTTTAATGTAATAACATGGAGCAGATTAATAATTGGAAGGGTATTTTTTTTTCTCCCTCCAGTCTTCCTTTGCTGGTACTGAATGCAGGTTAGGTATCTAAAAGCAAAAATGTAAATTTCTGAAAATTTTCTGAGCTGATATTCTTAGTTAAAAGAGAGTAGAGATCTATGATGACTAAACACAATTAGTGACCTTAGATTAGAGAGGAAAATAATCTAAAAAGGATATTGCTTTCACATTTTGAATATGTTTGTGTATTAGTAATAGCATCATGTCAATATTGAATCCCTATATTTGATAAGGTAGAAGAATGCCTTGTTCTTGAGAGATAAATGGCAGAGCATTGCAGGGTGAAATGTCATGATGTAGGTAACTAACTCCATTCAGTCGGGGGTGAGGAAGATGTGTGCAAGTGTGTGTGGGGATAGAAATACAGAAATAAGGGGCTGGCAGGTGGCAAGGTGGCTAAAGGTGCTGGATTCCCACATAGCCGACTGCAGTTTTCATTCCAGATCTGGCAGCTTGCTTTCTTGCTTCCCCTTTCTCTCTCTCTGTCTCTCTTTGGTCAAATTATAAAGTAACAAGAACAAATGTAATTAAAAAATAGATTATTTTTTTTTAAAAGACAGAAATAAAGCAAATGAGGCAAAAAGTTAACCACTGCTGGATCTGGGTATAAAGGTATACAAATATTCATTATACTACTCTTACAAGTTTTCTGAAAGTTAAGTTTTTCAAAGCTAAACACTTTTTGAGATGAGAGAAAAGAGACATAAAAGAAAGGAGAGCAAAATACTGACATATTGATCAAGGACTGTCAGCAAAGGGGATAGTGTTTGTTGCAAAGGGGTAAGCGACAAAATTCCCACATTCATTTGAGAATGAGATGGGAGATGGAACTTGTACTCCACATTCCACCTTGATCAGTGGGAGACGGGTCGTGCGCAAAGGAAGAAGGTAAGGAGGGCTGCATGAAATGCTGAGGGCCAAGAGAGCTCAAGGCAGCCAACCACCTCACCAAGGCAAAGCAGAGCAGCCAGGTGTGAATTATTGTTCCATATTTCAGAGGGATAATGAAATGATGGCAGTGGGTTCATCTCCCTGAAACCAGGATACTACCAGGCACTCCAGAAAGGTTGAGAGAAAGAAATGCTTCACTTACTGAGTCTAAACCTGGAAAGACTGAGTTTACCCACAAGTGACTAATTTCATATTTTATTCTACTCAAAAGAATAGGAGCTTGATATTGATGTGAGGTTCAATGCTTAAAAAAAAGGGGGGGGGACATTATGCTTCTTGTATACTTGCATTTTGATGGCATGAGTCTATACCCACATGACAGTGTTTTCTCCCTAACAGACAGGTACTGCTTGGGTGCTAGTAACTGGATGTTGCTAATTTAATCTGCATTTTGTTCCCAAATATCCCCTACAATCAGCATTAATGGACAGGGACAAGAAGAGAAGAAAAGGTGCCTTCATATTTAGAATATCAAATCTGAGGATTCAGCTTTTTATCTTCCAGCAGTCAAATTCCTTTTCTGGGAAGTGCTTCTCTGTTAAAATGATGAACACATTTAAAGTGACCAATACTTTTTAAAAAGTGGTGTATGGAAAAGCTTTCTAAAATCAAAATCCAATTTTGGTGATTATATGGTTATTTCTTTAAACTCAGGCAAGGTATCTTGTGTAGTTGCAGAATTTTGGAGAAATTTAGTTATGGTTACCTCTTAAAATGTGCTGTAAAAGTCGATGCTCTAATGTTCCTATAAAAAAAAACAGAATAAAATAAAATCTAGAAATATTCCTTGCAGTTTATATCATTAAACCAGATTTTTACTTGGCAGTACTCAAGGTGGGGATTCTTGCAACATTAAGATAACTATCTCTTTTCTGCGATTTTTAGAACCTCTGGGATTCGAAGATCAAGTTGCTTAGAGACCCCATGGAATTTGCAGAAAAAGCAAACTCTAATCTTGACATCTGTAATTAACATTTTATCTGACTCTGAAAATTTAGTTTGCTGGCAGCTTAACTGCTCTCTGGAGCTGAATAATGATCTTGCTACACCACATCCCACATGACTTTCCATTCTGAGAGTGGAGGAGTAATGCTTGGAACTCTCAATGGGTTCTTTATTGGGCACAGTGTCATGCTCTTTGTCTTGTTATGTGGGGATTGTAGATGCCTAGGTTTTCTTTCTGTCCACCTTTCTGCAGGTTTCCTAAGCTAGGCTAACACTTGCCTGTTTCTGATTATTTTTTATATCGGGACTATAGACCAATGCATAGGCATGCATAGAGCACAGGATAAATTGAAGGTTGTGAAAATATCTGTATAACATACTATTCAGTGAACTGTGAAAACCCTTATGTAATTCTGGTTCAATTAAAAAATACGAAGTGGAGGGACCAGCAGTTAGCGTAATGGCTATGTCACTGGACTTCCATGTAGTCGACCGCAGTTTGAGTCTCGGACCTGGTGGCTTAAACTCACGCTGGGCGCATGTGTGTGTGTGCCCAAGATCCCGAGAGGAGAATGGAGGAGAAGGGACTGTGGCATGGCCATCCCCCGCGGGGGTGATTTCTCACTTTCTGTCTCTCTGTCTCTCTGTCTTTCTGGCAAGAGCATGCACCCTATAGCAAAAACCTCTTCAAAAAAAAAAAAAAAATACAAGGTGGCTCAAAATGTTTGTGGAAAATGGAATTAAAGTGCAAGTTATTTTACTGCCAAAATTTTTTGAAAAATATGCAATTTTAATAATATGTATCTTCCATGAACTTTTCGAAGACTTCTAGTATATCTTTTCCTCAGTAACTCAGGCCATTGGCAACTCAGGCAAAAGAAAGTTAAATAAACCTGACTTATACACGTATACACACACACACACACACACACACACATGAATTCTATTGTGATTGAGGTAAATGTCAGTTCTTATCACTCCGATATTTTTCCACATATTTGTATTGTAACTTTTTGTACTGAGGTGTACAAATGCTTGGCTGACACATCAATCAACATCATCACCAAAATGAAAGGAGAAAATCAATCTTTCAACTCATGGTTAAAAGATAATTTATAGACTTTATGAAGTAGTCAAAGTTATAAAGAGTATATTATAGTTATCTTCCATGCATTCAACAAATATTTATTAAACTCCTACTCTGGAACCTGGCCTCTTCACTGAAGATGCCACGTGAAACAAGACAAAATGGGTCTAGCTGCCTCTAACATGCTAATGAGGTGAGAGACAATGAACAAGGAACAAAATTCATAACAGATGGTGATAGGACCCAAGAAGAAACTAACATGGAGTAAAGTCATAGAGAGACTGTGGGATAGCACCAGATTGAGGGATCAGGAAACATTCCAATGTAGATAGCAATTGATCTGAGACCTGAATCACAAGTATTCAGGATATAGCTCTATGTTCTAATGGTCCAGGTTAGTTTATTACTTAGCCATGATAAAAAGTTTTCCTTCATCTACATCTACATGAAATGATTAGACTACACATCTTACAAGTTGGCCTCTATATTTATATTCTAGAAGTTCACCTCTTTCCTTTTAAACCTCATGCTAAAATGATATTATACCACAGTGGCACCTCTAGACACTTAGCTGTAAGTGTTACAAAAATCCCAAAAAGTTCTAGTAGGGATTGAGGTAGATTTTAAAACAAAATAATAACAATGAGTTCACGGTTGTGCTGGCTGCCATGGGCTTGCATAACTTAGGTTATATCAGTGACCAAAGTCATCCAACAAATTGATTCTTTAAGTGCTTATGATAAAGAACAGCTACCAACATACTCAGGCAAGCATTCTTTTTTTTTTTTTTTGAGAGGTTTTTGCTATAGGGTGTGTGCACTCGCCAGACAGACAGAGAGAGACAGAGAGATAGAAAGCAAGAAATAACCCCCCAGGGGGGATGGCCACGCCGCAATCCCTTCTCCTCCATTCTCCTCTCGGGATCTTGGGCACGCACGCACATGCACCTGGCGTGAGTTTTAAGCCACCAGGTCCGGGACGTGAACCGCGGTTGACTACGTGGGAGTCCAGTGACATAGCCATTACGCTAACTGCTAGTCCCCCAGGCAAGCATTCTTACATTCATATCTTCTGTGAATTCATCAGCCAGAAATTCCCATGCTCTTGATATCTTTATATCCCTACACATCTCCTTAATTACAATTCCAAGGATAGTTATCTAGTGTTTCACTAACATACAGACATAAGGATAAGAAGCAGTCATATTTCTTGTCAGTAAGTTTATCTATTGAGATGCTGGATAATAGAATGTTCTTCGATCATCTTGTATTTTATGTGACATAACTCTTAGGGCTTATGGCTTGTAGTCAACAGAAATAGTCACTTAAAGGTGTCCCTGTGCAAAGATCTTCTGTATAAAACACACACACACATACACACTCATATAATTTTGTGCTAATCACTTATTCTCTAAAAAATATTAACTTTTATATGAAAATAAAGTTAACCAGATGAACTCTAAGTTCTAACTTTAATCTTCTAGTATTCCATGAACATGATTCCAAAATGATTTTTTTGCAAGGTAAGATAAAAACCATTTATTTATATGTAAGGAAGAATGATATCTGAGCACTATATCTGTTGGGAATATACTTGGCTGCAACTAATGAAAAAGTTAATAGTGGTTTAAACAAATAAGCAACATATCTACTGATCTTCCATCTTGATGCTTCAAAATTCACAAACTGGCCGCTATAACTGCTAAAATTCTGTGCTCACAACTGAATAGCTGAAATAGGAAAGGAAAGGGAAGCAGTGCGATACAGGCTTGATCTTTTTTTTTTTTCTGGAAAACAAAGTATTTCATAGAAGATCTTGCAGAAGCCAACTTCTTTTGTTATGTGTCACACGGCTGACTCTAGGTCCAAAAGTGAGTGTAAAAATGAGTATCCTGGTTCACTAGCCTGAAGAGTAGGGATTCCAATCCCTTGGGCTAGTTAAGTAACGGTGTCTATTACAATGATTTCAGTATGACATCTTTATCTCCCTACACATCTCCTTAATTACAATTCCAAGGGTAGTTATCTAGTATTTCACTAACATACTAACATAGACCCAACATTAAATTACTAAAGAATTGAAACATGTGAAGGCAATGGCTTACAGAAAATGTTAACATAGAAAACCAATACCAATGGAGTCAAACAGAGTGCTTTGACATTTATCAAAACAAATGAAGAAATAGTTGACTGAGTGTTTAAAAATCTTTTCTAATGATATTAAACAAATCTTGTTGAGCCAAAATCTTACATCTCATAGAATTATAAAGAGAAATGATAAACTTGCCTAAAAGTAACCCCTAATGTAACATATTTGATATATGCCCTTTCAAACATTTTTAAAACGTTCTACATATTTTCTTCCTTTTTCTACTCTGTTCTTTCTTTTTTTTTCTTTAAAGTTTATTTCTTCCATGAGTAAGAGAGAGAGATAAAGAGATAGGCATCTCCAAAAGGATCTTCACACCACAATCCACTTCAGCCTCAACTAGCCCTGGATCATGTGTACACAACCCTGGTATGTTCAGGGAGGTCTCTGGATATGAAACTTGAACTTCCCATGTGGATCAGCCTTGCAGAGTATTGGACTGTCACTGTACCACTGTCTGGCCCCTCTACTCTGTTCTTTCTGTAACTATGCTAAGTTTTTCTGAATACCACTTTCCTCTACTTAATATAACCTTGTCCCCTTTCCATATGTTTGCTATTATGTTCCATTATAAAATGTCATTGTTAAGAGCACAAACTTAAGCCAGGTTGTCACCTCCAACATAAATACCAGCTACATAACTTTGGACAAAATACTCACGCTCTTTGTTCCTCAATTTTTTTAATCTTCAAAATTATATAACAATATCATCTGTGCAGAGGATTGTTATAAAAATTAACTGACTATTCCCTATAATATACTTAGTATTATAAGCAAATAGTAGTATCCAATAAAGGACAACTACTTTTATTGTATGAAAATATGTCAAACAATTTTATTAACCCTGGCCAGAATTAATAAATATTAAAATTATTTTTAAATATTTGGTTTTATAAATGACCCAGTCAGTAATATCCTTGAAAACACTTCTTTGTCCAGTAGTTTTCTAAGGATAAACTTTCTCAAATGTAATTACTGGGCCAAAAGATATCCACATTTAAATTTTGACACTTATTTGCCAGCTGATTTTCAGAAAACTTTTCCCAAATCATATAAAGAGTGCTTGTTTTCATATATAAGAGTGCCTATAACTACACACCCTTTCCAACACTAGATATTAATTTTTGCCAAACCAATCAATGAAAAGTTTCTCATTACCTTCTTAATTTGCATCCTTCTGATCAGTGAAATTTTTTAAACTTTGAAATGCTTTGAATCAGGTATATTTCTTTTCTTAAGGAATTATTTTACTACAGCCTACAATGGGTTAATTTGGGGTGTTTACTTTAATGCATTGAAGGATGTCTATATGGGTGGTGAAAGTTTGTAACTGGGTGTGCTTGTGAAATTCTTGCCAGACAAGGAAGGCATGTGAGTTAGTAGGTTGAAAGAGGAAGAACCTTCAGTGTGGACAGACATCATCCACTTGGACTGTGAGAGGGACTTGGAGTTTAAGAGGGACAAAGACAGAGTAGGGGTCTGTTTCCTCTTCCCTTCCCTTTGTCTTGACTCTTCCTTACAAAGATGTGTGATTGCTCCTAAACATGTGCCTGTTTCATCTTGTTCCACAATTCAGCCCTTAGCTGCATTTGTTCTTGCCAGCTCTTGCCCCCTCTGCCCCTCCATCCAGAGAGACTCGCAAGTTTTCAAAGCTTTGGGCTCTGAACTCATACCAGAAGCTGCCCAAAGGCACTCAGTCCTGCAGTCTCCTGAGAGATCCCTTTGACCTTGGACTGAAATTACACTAAAGTCTCTGCTTCTGAGTCTTTCAGCTATTTCTTTAGCTTGAAGACAGCCTATTATAGAACTTGAATCCTGCAAGTCCTATAAGATAATCCCTATAATACACACACATGCGCACCCTGTTGGTTCTATTTCTCTGGAGAACCCTGTCCAATACAAGACCAAACCGATTTTTTGTTATAGGTCTTAGCCCACATACACTTTAAATATCCAAGGACAATTTTCCAAACATTTCTTATTGCAATCTCAATTTACTTATTGAATACCAAATTTTTCTCAATTTGTAAGAAATACCTGGTCAAGAGTAATTTTTAGTCTTTGTAAGATGTGAATCTCCTTAGAAAAATCAATTAAAAATGACATAGTGAAAAGATGAGGGGAAAAAGGTCGATTTTAAATTAGAATCAGTTACTGAGTTATTTGATTATGTTCAATTTTTATTGTCTTTTGATTTATTTTTGTTTGATTTATTATTATATTTATTTTTCCCAAATCATCAAATACTAAAACTGTTTTTCCAGATATTCTTGGTATATATCTTTGGAGAAAACATAAGTTGCCCACAGCAGCTTTTAAAGACACTTTCCTAGGACCTCTTGCCTCAACTTCACTTGAAGAGCTTAAATACACTTAATTGTGGAGTTCAATCTTTACATTAAGAATGAGAGTCTAAAGACACAGACTGGACAGCTGCATTTTTAAAAGGCTCTTCCCAGGGAATTCTTATATAAACCAGTGTTGGAAGAACTTTGGGAAGTGTCTAGTAACATTAGTTTATTCAATTGTTCATGCATTTGTTAAAAAACAATTAAAATAATCACTGAGCATCTACTATGTACTGGCCATTGTTCTGGGAATATAAGATTGAAATAAACAAAGTCTATGTTCTAATGAATCTTACATTATAATGGAGGAAGTCCAATAACAGACAATTAAATGTCTATTATTATCCAAGGTGGTAAGTGCTATTACAAAGAATAAGGCAAAGTAAGAGGTCAGAGAGATATGTGGGTGGGTACTTCTTTATGTTCAGTAATAGTAACTTTTATTGGTTTTTCTTGTAAATAATAAAATTCCTTTAATATTAGTCTTAGAGGCATTTTGATTTCTCAATTCATCTGAGTTTAGGTTGGCTCTTTAGTCTTCAACACATCCTTGCTTCCTTCCATCCCACTATTTTTGAAGACTACTGCCCCAATGGGGTATCAGCAAGGGATGGGCTCAATTGTCAAAAGGCTAGCTGTCTCCATCAGTAAGATCATAAACTAATATGAGGTAAGAAGAATAGACAGTCAATAAAGGAGTGGTAAAATGTGAAACAAGGCTGGGAATAGCAGTTGGCATAATGGCTATGTTGCTGGCTCCCATGTAGTTGACTGCCGTTTGAGTCCTGGACCCGGTGGCTTAAACTCACACTGGGCACATGTGCGTGCGTGCCCAAGATCCTGAGGGGAGAATGGAGGAGAAGAGATTGCGGTGTGGCCATCCCCCCGAGGGGTGATTTCTCACTTTCTGTCTCTCTGTCTCTCTCTGTCTTTCTGGCGAGCGCACGCAACCTATAACAAAAAAAAACTCTCAAAAAAAAAAAAAAGAAAGAAAGAAAGAAAGAAAGAAAGAAAGAAAAAAATGTGAACCAAGGCAATATTTACTGTCTACCTAAGCCTCATAAATTATTGAACAGAAATTTCTAGAAATGCACAGGTCGAGTAATGTGAAAGCATCGAGCACATCGGACAGCGCCTGCAGCATGGTAAGGTGCAGCTGCTGAGGACCTGCTGGGAAGCTGCCAACTTCCTGAACATTCTCTCTCTCCCTCTCTCTCTGTGATTGAGTTAAGGGAAGGTTAGGGGTGGGAGCTGAAAAATGAGTTGAAAGCTTCAAAAGGTCTCAAAATAAATCTGGTTAAACCAAGCACTGGACAAGAAGCTTTTAGGCCCTAAACATGAAAGTCAGGCATAAACCATACTAACCATTGCTCCTTTTTCAGAAGTAGCAGCAACAACAACAGCAATGGAAGCATATACCTGTCCAACAGTCATAAGCAGGTTCTTCGTCAGTTAGAGTTGACTATGAAAACCCAGGGATTCAAGGAAGGGTCTGCTCTACCGTAATCAAAGTTTCTTAAGTGGTATCCATTCATATCACTAATATAAGCAAATTTCCTTTCTCTCTCTTTCTCCTTTTTCTCTCTCCTTCCCTCCTTCCTTTATTGTGTGTGTGTGGAAGAATAAAGGGGGCTATACACATGTGCAAAATATTTTTGCACCAAAATAAACTCATCCTTTAATTTCATTATCCACAAACATTTTAAAGTCCCCATGTACTATCCTGGATCAAGGATAAGCATCCTTTAGCCATAAACTGGACTATCTAATTCAGCCACAGAACACTCCTTGTTAGAAGGAATGTAATGGAATACTATTTTCACATGGACCCTCATAAACTCATGCTCTCTCCCAGGGTTATAAATCTCATGCCTTGTGGGTTCAGTTTTTTAGACAAATGGTAAAAGCTTCATGTTTGTTAGAAACGAAGACCTGCATTAAACATTTTAAAAAATATTTCACTGTGTTATGTATCTATCAATGCATAATAAACCACCCCAAACTTAGTGGTATTATTTACTCACTATTCTGTAATGTCAGCAACATGGACTCAGGTCACTGAACAATTCTTTGCCTAAGAATTACAAGGTCTGTGTGAAGAATTCCCCAACATCACATTCACCACATTCCTTAGTGAAAGCATTTCACAAGGCCAGCCTAGATTCAGGGGAGTTGAGAAATGGACAACACCTCCTAAAGAGTATGGGAGGAGCAGCAAATCCACAGAACAAAGGGGCTGTACACAGAGCAATCATTGTTGCCATCTTGCAAATCATCTATCATACCTGTATAATAAAGAAATACTTAAAATAACTTGCTGCCTGTGATTTGCTTGAACACATTTCAGAACAAATAAATGGATGGAGAAATAATTGAAACAAAAAAGGCAAAAAGTGGGCCATCTGGTGGGGTAGTAGTTTAGGCATCTGGATCCCCACGGAGGATTGTGTGGTTTGAATCCCAGACACAACAGCTTGAAAAATATGCCAGGCACATGTGCATGTGTGTCCAAATTCTGAAAAGAAAAATGGAGAAGGTACTATGCTGTGACTATCTCCCATTGGGTGTGATTTCTCACTTTTCCTCTTTCTGTCTCTCTCTCTTTTTCTCTCTGGCAAGTGTACAAATCTTTTGGCAAAATTTATTTTTAAAATGGGAAAAAGTAATCATTGCTTAAGTTTGATGATAGACACATGGAGGTTATTTATATTAGTCTCTTTCCTTTTTGTGTCTTTGTGTCTTACTTGTCTTCTTTGCTATAACTGAATACCACAGACAAGGCAATTTACAAAAGACAGAGGTTTATTTTACTTACAGTTTTGGAGCCTGAAAAGTCCAATATCAAGGTGGCAGCATTTGTTAAGGGCCTTCCTGCTGCATCACCACATGGTAGGAGGCATTACCTGGTGAGACAGAGCATGTGTGTCAGAGAACAAGAGAGGGCCACTTTTATAACAACTTATCTCATGATAACCCATCAACCCTTGGTCCATTAATCTATAAATAAATTGATCCACTCACTGGGGGCATCACTCTTATGATTCAATTACCCCTTATTTGATCCCATCTCTTAAAACTGTCATAACAGCAGTTAGTTTTAACATGAATTCTGGTGGAGACATTCAAATCATAATAATTTATAATTTTAAATATAAAGGTTAAAATTAAATTAATGAAACAATGCTTTTAATCAATCCTTACAATAATTCTTTTCTTCCCTTTTACATACAGGGACACTGAGATAGAAAGCAATCATGTGATCAGCGTTTGCTAAGGTCGCTCATATAGTAACAATAGGTAATATTTACCATAGACATGTAATGTGTCAGCACTTTCCCACCACATATCATATCTCATTTAATCTCCACAACATTGTTATCTCCATTCCTCAGATAAGAAACATCAGGAAGCTGCATAAGGTCACAGAATGAGTAGTGAAATCATGACTTGGATACATGAAATGTTGCCTCAAAGCACCTACTCTACAAGCAGTGAAGGTGAGATTAGAATCAAGCTTTGTATGACTCCACCAACAGGAGCACCATTCCAAGATGCCATGCTGGGGCTTTCAGAGCTGGACACTTCTCTGATGATGTTTCTCCACAATCATTTGCCTGCCTGAGTTTCCCCTCTCAAATTTTCACATCATAGTGACTATTAATCCCCATACTCAATCAGGAATCTAAGAAAGCTGCACAACCCATACTTCTCATCAAGGGAACTCTATTTTTTCCCACTAAATAAGATAATATATATGTGAGTCTTTTATAAACTCTAAGGTCATATGGATGGTTCATTCATTCTCCAACTTAAGTATTATTATGAAATAATTATTTGAAAAAGTATTTTTTTCTTTTTTTTCAAAATTCTTTTTATATTAATTTTATTTATTCATTCATTCATTCATTCATTTGACAGAGAGAGACAGAGAGAGAGAACATGAGAAAGCATGCCACCAGGTCCAGGACTCAAACCGTGGTTGGCCATGTGGGAATGTCCAGCTCCTTAGCCACCACACCACCTGCTGGACCCTGAAAAAAAATATTTTAAAGGACTTTCCAAAGAAGCCAAATTTTGTGGTGAAGTAACCCTTTGGAATTTTCCTTACCAACATCTGTAACTGTAAATGTGTTTTCGGTTAGGGTAAGAACTGTAGAGTGAGAATGAAAAAAACTCATAAATGGAGAAGTCTGACTCTCAAAGTTTGTTACCAGGAATGATCCAAGAAGAACTGAACACAGCAGCCTGGGTTTTTTCAATTACTCTTAGCACTGAGCAAAAGTGCTCCATGCCACTTTTTTTTTTTTTAAATTTATTTATTTACATTCATTCACTATATATCATTACAGCATACAAAATGAGATTTTCCATCCAGAATACACTGTATATTGGCTCAATCAAGCACATCAACATATGTGTTATTGTCAACAAATAATTTTCCATTTCTTGTTTCCTGTATATTTTGCTTTTTTTACCATCCTTGATTCCCTATTTCTCACCCTCCGCTGTGTCCCACCCACCTCCCACACTGTCTCTGGTATTCATGGTTGCCTTCTATGCCCCCCTCCCCCATTTTATTGATTCGCTAAAGATCTTAATTAATCTAAATATTTTCAATAGGAGACATATCCATGAACACAAGTCTGGGGGCTTTAAGTTTTAAGCAAAGTTTCTTACCATTTTAAAACTGCTCCGTGCCACTTCTAAGCATTCTTCTGTCAATGCGTCAGCACCTTAGCCATCCCAGCCGGAAGTCATAGTTCATCACTCCTGACTCTGAGGAAGTGAGATAATACAATTTACCAAAATACTTTGCAGGCAAACTGGAGGGAGATTTCACACCTATGTCATGTGAATGTCACTAGGCCTTGCCTGAAGTTTCCTTTGTAAAATTCCAACAGCAGCAATGCAACATCCTAACTGCAATGAGGTCTATAGATGGAGATTAGGGCTATGTGTGTATATATGAATGAGGTCACAACTTATCTAGAAACATACTAAAAGTTTAAAAAGGGAGAATTCCTTCCAAGAGTTAGTTACTAAGACAAAAACTTGAAGTATGTTTTATTGAGATCAGAATAGAATTTTTTCCTCTCTGAGATGTCAAATTAGGGAGTTTTTATAGGGAAGTGCTTTCTCTCTCTCTCTCTCTCTCTCTCTCTCTCTCTCCCTCCCCACCTCTCTGTTTCTATGACTCTCTCTGACAAGTACATGCACCCTCTGGCAATTAAAAAAGGAAATAAATTTAAAATAAAGATTTAAAAAGTTGGAAAATTGAATTAAAGTATGAGTTCATTTTGGTGCAGAAACAGTTTTGAAATCCATGCATAGTTGTTTTATAGTATGCATTTTCCATGAACTCTTTGAAGACTCTGTGTGGGGGGGGGTGGGGTGGGGGGAAGAGAGACAGAAGAAACTCCTACAGAAAAGCTCCTTCCTTAATCACCCAGGTCTTAAACTCAGTAAATTATAATAACACATAAAACAGTCAAATATTTAATAAAAACACAGTTGGAACTTGACCTCAAATACTCATAGGTGCATTGTATGTATCAGGTTTCCCAGAAACAGGAGTCATAAAAATACATTATTTATAAAGAAGTATTTTCTCTCCCTATCCAAGTAAACTCTTCCCTTGGTAACCATGCAGCTGTTGCCTCTGGGAGAGGAGTTGGTATGGGTGCTAAAATTTTTGTCTTTAAGTTCCCTAAATCTGAAAAAAAAAAAAAGCAAATAAAAATTGAGTTTCCCTTAACTTTCAGAATTTCAGGGCAAATAAAAGTCCATACCAGAATATTGAGCTAAGGAGATAAACCAAATACTGTGACGGAATCATAACTGAGAGAGTTGGAACTGCTGGGTTTTTAAAGACAAGGCTACTCAGCCTGGAATGCACCACAGGTCACAGCTCTCAGCACAAGCCTCCTTGCAGTCACAGCCACCAGACATTTTTCTTTCACTGTGGGAAAGTGTCAAATCCTTTCTCTTTGTGTGTGCATATTTGAGTCACAGGAAACGGTCTTTACATCCAACCGATAGGAATAAATGAGGTGTTAGAACTTTTTTTTTGAGAACATCTTAATTTCACATAAATCCATCATGTTTTTATCAGGCTGAATTTGCCTTTGTTTTTTTTATATAGATGCTTAAAAATTCTAACAATTATAAAAGAGATGTGGATTAATTTTAGAACAACTGGACACACAGAGAATGTAAGGAAAGAAATAACAGAAGCCATCTAAAGTCATACAAAGACAACTACTACTTACATTTCATGTTTTGGGAAGTCTTTTTTCTTACAATATGAATTAGAAAATTTTCATTACTAACATCATCTTCACATTTTCATAAAACTACTTGTGAAATGACTTATAATTTTATTCCAACTAATTCTGATACTTATAAAATATTACAATGTCATAATTTTTATTGCAAATAATGCTTACTGTAATAAACAGCAAACAATCTTCAGTGAAAACTGAGAAACAAACCTGAAACTATCTATATAATTGAAGGCAATTATGAATAACAGAAATAACACGGCTGGAATAATTTGGTAAAACTCAAGAGATAAACTTGTGTCCCAGCTCAGACACTAAACTAAAACATGATCAAAAATACATGTCTACTTCTATTAAGTTTAGTTCATTTGTAAAATGATGGTGCCAGATTTTATCTTTAAGGTCCCTTCTAGAGTTAACTTTTTCAGACACTAATTACACTGAACATAGTCAATAGTTGAGCATTTCTTCACTAGATTTTACCTGTATAGGCAATCACTTCTGCATATTGAAACTAATTCCATTTTTTGCTTGTAGATTAGCCTATCCAAATGGTTGCTTTAATTCTCTATCAATAAAAACACATTCAAAGAAGAAAACCAACTTAAGAGTTACCCTGTTGTACATATATTAATTCATGTTTGAGATAGACTAAGTTGAAACATGACAGAAATTACCTTTTTTAAAGAGGGTTTTTGCAATAGGGCATGTGTGCTCACTGGAGAGACAGAGACCGAAAGCAAGAAATCACCCCCCCCCCAGGGGGCAAGGCCATGCCACAATCCCTTTCCTCCACTCTCCACTCAGGATTTTGGGCATGTACACACATACATCTGGCGTGAGTTTTAAGTTGCCAGGTCCAAGACTCGAACTGTAGTTTACTATGTGGGAGTCCAGCAACGTAACCATTATGCCATCTTCTGTTCCCAACAGAAATTACTTTTAAAACTGCAGTATAGTCAGATACTTTACTCAAGCAAACTATGAGACAATATGTAACAGTTATTAATAACTATTTATATGAAAGAGAAAAATTAGCTTGGAGGGCACTGCAGTGATAATCTAATCTAATCTAATCTATTCTAGTCTAATTACCTGTCCTGCCTCATGATATGAATGGAAAATTCAAATGCATACAGGAACTATACATATGAATAATATAAATGTCTCCTTACATCTGAACCATTTCTCTAAGTGAGAAAAACCAATGACAAAGTGACAGGATGTGGTGAACTGAAAAAGCTTAGTCAGTACAAAATATAAAGATCTAGTAGGTTGTTAACTTGAGGAATATGGGCATAGAATGGCCAAGTCTAATTTTTCAAAAGACATTGTCAATCTAGATTGTGTATGTGTGTGCATGTGTGAGAAAGAAAGAGTAATAGAGTGAGAGAATGTGTGTAAACTCTCAAGTTTCTAATTTTGACTCAAAAGTTGTGTTTTTTTTTTTCCACTGTGTGTGGCCTAAACAGCACAAATGGAGAGCCACTAATTTATAAGCCTCCAATTTACACAGAAAAGCCAATTTCCTCCATTTCTGGAACCCACACTGCATAGACATGCTATGAAACTATTCAGGCAAAAAAGTGGAAGACCAAGGCAATCATCTGGGGAAGGGAGGACCAAACACTCATTCTATTGAAACAACCTCAACATTTAGACCCAGGGAGATAAAATTTTGAAAGTATTTTCTCCAAATAGTTTCCTGATTGTTCACCTATGAGTAAAATAACTGATAATAGGATTATTTTATCCATAGTTGAAAAAACTATGGATAAAATAACTCTTTGCTTTTCAGACTTGGCATACTAGAAAATAAATTAACTCCTTTTAAATGAACATGGTTAAAAAATTTTATTATTGATGTATGCAATTTCCTTGAATTCAGGTTGAACAATAAAATTATCCCCAAGCTTCCATCCAACCCTTAGTCCCAGCCACAGTGAAAAAGGAATAGCATGCCAGCAGGTTGCACTGTGGTTAAGGGGCTGAACTTGCACATGGCCAACTGCAGTTTGGGTCCTGGACCTGGCAGCTTGAACTCATGCCGAGCATGTGTCCATGCATGCCCAAAATCCCAGGAGGAGAATGAAGGAGAAGGGATTGAGGTGTGGCCATCCCCCTCCCCTGGGGGAGTAAATTCTAACTTCCACTCTTACTGTATCTCTCTATCTGGTGAGGGCATGTGCTCTATGGCAAAAACCTTTAAAATAAAAAATAAACAAATAAATAAGAAAACAAGAGGAGAAACATAAAGAGACATTCTCCACTCTGAATATATCATATATTAGAACTCTTGTCTCTCCTTCTTGTTTCTGTAAAAACATCTGTACAAAGTGGGCCCAGCTGGCTTGTAAATAAATTCCATGATGCAGGCCAGCTTTCATATCCTTCCTATCACCCTTTGTCTTGCCTCCTTTCTGCCAGTGTGCATTTCCCTTCTGAACATCTAATGCTTAGTGAAAAAAAATCAATGTTAACAGGTTAAAAGTTAATGTGCTTCACCTGTTTCACCTCCTTCTGTTAGTAAACTTGGACCAGCAAAGGGGGAATTTGACGTATTACCTGTTTGCTTATCTCTTCCATGGAGGAAATGATGAAGGGTATGCAAGCAGTGTTCATCAAACTGTCAGGCTAAAAATCATTACAATGCCTGCTTTCTGGGAATTATCATGAACTTTCACTCCTTTTTCCTTTGTACAGAATCTGCTGTTGGCCAAGAAGTATACCCACCCACAACTTTTATTTACAGTTTAGGCTTATATGAAAATTGTGTGGAGGAAGGATTTGGGGAATGAGCTAGTGGTGAACTATCCTTAGAGACTGAGGCTGAAAGACATCCAGACTGCTTGGGATGCCTCCTGAGATGAGAGGGTTCTTACAAGATTGCCAGGGACTTCTGAAGTTTCCATTAATTCAGACTCACTAAGCTGTGAGCAAAGTTCCACCTGGAAACTACCTCGACTCCAGTCAAGGTAGCCAGCATCTGATATTCACACAGATTAAAAAGAAATATGTTCAAAGAAAAGAAAAGAAGGAGAAATAAAGAGGAAAAATAATCAAATCTGAAGTACTTAAACTATTAAAAAGGCTCAAAATGGCAAAATGGTGATCCCTTTGAAAGAGTGGAGCCGGGGTTCCTAGAACCAAAACCTATACTCTAGATTGCCTTCACCTCTTCCCATATCTTCATTACTTGCACAGTGATACTCTACTCTTCTGTACTTCCTCCCTCCTCATCATAATGACACAAAGCAAAAGGAAAATAAAAGTAAATTTGATGTTACCTTTTAGATGTATTTTTCCAAAGTAGTCTTAATGCTGGCATGGGCATTTAAACCCTATGACTGGGATATTGAACTTCACTCTGCCTCTGTTTATAGGATGCTTTTGCCAGGAGTTTTAGGAGAATGACGGTCACCCAAAAACCCTTTCCTAACTCCCTACCTTAAATCATATACAATAATAACGATTACACATCCATGTGACTCGGAG